GAGAGAGAGAGAGAGAGAGAGAGAGGGAGATCGCTTTATTAAACAAGAGGAACAATTAACTAAACGTGTTAAGAAAGTGATACAGGTTAATGACAATAACTTTTAACTGTTAGCCAAAGTGAGCTGTCTCTCTCTCTCTCTCTTTCTTATTCCTTCCTCCCTTTCTCCTGCTTTTTCTCTCTCTCTCCTTCTCCCTCTGTCTTTCCTCCCTCCCCTGCTTCTCTTTCTCTCTAACTACAGTATCTAGGTCAAGAGTTATATTAATCTCTACTATGAACTGACAGATTTTATCATAACAGTAAGCTTCAGACACACCTTTACTGATCAAATTCCAGCATCTTCCTCCCTCCCTTTCTGCATGTTCCTCCTCCCCTCCCGCATGTTCCTCCTCCCCTCCTGCATCTACCTCCCTCCCACATCTTCTCTCCCGCATCTTCTTCCCTCCAGCATGTAATTACACTTTCACTGAACACTTCTTACATCAGGTGGGCCCTCGTGAAAGTGTGTCAAGACTGAGCGAAGAAAGTGACCTTGAAGTACTTATCTAAGTTCATTTATATTCTACCTATGACCTCAACTTGACCTCACACCTCACTTCATGACCTGACCCTTCCTCACACCTCATTTTATGACCTGACCTTTCCACACACCTCACTTCATGACCTGACCCGTCCACACCTGTCAATCAGCCACACTCATCTGTTAACCCACCTACCAGCTGCCACACATACACACACCTGTCACCTGCCACACACACACCTGTCCCCCACACACACACACACCTGTCAGCCTACCTGGTAGAGTATAATCCATTATCCAATTCCTCCCGCATGCCCTAAACCCCTGCGTAAATTGATGTTAGGAATTAGTATTTATTAATCAGCAGGTTACAGCAAAAGAATTACATCGTGGAACCACCATATAACGGATTTCTCTCCATATAGTCCGTTAGATGGGGAGGTGTCACATCTAACGGACCCTCTATTCCTGAATTTCCTCTCCATATTCCGTTAAATAGAGACTTCACTAGACTGTCAATCCTCGGTGAGCTCTACCCGACAATTATCACTCGTCTTACAGTACTATATCAACTGGTTCTCTTTCTACTGTAGTTGTGACGTCACTAGTACTCGGAAAACTCAAGGGGATTCGATAATGAGGTTTGGTTAAGTTAGATTAGGTTGTTATGTTGTGTTATGTTTGTTATGTTATTACCTAAGAACATAAGAATGGATGAAACTGCAGCGGGTCTGTTGGCTCATACTGGGCAGTCCCGTTTATACCCAACCCCTATTGCTCATATATCCATCCTCCCTATGTTTGAAGCTATCCAGCGTATTCGAGTTAATGATGATGTTTGGTAACTTGTTCCACTCGTCCACCACTCTATTTCCAAACCAGTGTTTACCTACCTCGCGCCTAAATCTAAATTTGTTTAATTTAAAACCACTGCTACGAGTTCGCTCCAGGTTGGATAGTTTAAGTAGCTTTGTTATATGACCTTTGTTTAACTCAAGGTCCATAATGGCTGGGATTAGTCTTGTCATCTTCCTCCGAATGCTTTCTAACGATTCTATATCCATTCTGTAGTACGGTGACGGGAACTGAACCGCGTAATCCAAGCGAGGTCTCACAAGCGCAAGATATAGTTTCAGGATGACCTCGCTAGTCTTGTAACTAACACTCCTTTGTATGAACCCAAGTACTTTTTTCAGACCATGCGAAAAATTTGTATAGATCTTCCTGTAGTTTTGCGGAGTCCTCGTCAGGTTTAATGATACGCCCTACTTTAGTGTCGTCAGCAAATTTACTATATTGTTGTCTATGCCGATATCTATGTCGTTTATGTATATAATAAATAGTAATGGTCCAATTATTGAGAGAGAGAGAGAGAGAGAGAGAGAGAGAGAGTTACTGGAAAGTACACTGTATTAACGGGTTCCCTCACATGCCCACAGTACCTGACTATCATGATAATACACTTCACTGGTACCTGAACTTCACCTGCCGCTACTGCCCTAACAACACCTTCTTTTATTCGTAAATTAATATTCTCATTGGATTATAAAAAAAATTCTTTATTGTTCTTAAATCAAGTTTGGGTGTGTGAAAGAATCTAGGGTATAGTGTGTGTGGGGGGGGGGGGTTCTCTCTCCACAATATACAGTCTTGACAGCCTAATTCTTTACACTCATTTAATCCCAACAGAAAATAACCTTAAGAAAATCGTCGTTATCCGCCACTACTGAGACAAGGTTCCCACCATTACCCCTATACAAGTTTACAAACACCTTACTTATTGTGTTGATAAAAGCAAATAGTAGGATTTCATTAGAGAATTCCCAAAGAAAACAGAGGCATATCGTTCCTTGCTGACGGGGACACGAGAGAGAGAGAGAGAGAGAGAGAGAGAGAGAGAGAGAGAGAGAGAGAGAGAGAGAGAGAGAGGAAATGCTTAAGGTCATAGCATGGATAAAGACATTAGCTCACGGGGCCTCTTGAGGAAGTCAGCTACAAGTGGGGCGTAAAAGTCGGGAGGGAAGGAGGAAGGAAAGTAATTCGGCAGGTAACGGTGCAGTTCTTACCATCAAATTAATTTTCAAGATCCCTGGGGGTAAGAGAGAGGGGGAGGGGCACTCAACAGACACACACACACACACACACACACACACGCACACACACACACACACACTAATGGGGAGGAAGGGAGGTTGTGCCTAAGGCTTCATCACCCCCTAGTGTGTGTGTGTGTGTGTGTGAAGCGTCGCACTGCAGGTCACCACTACCCTCGAGGGGCCCTAACCAGCCAGGGTAACGCAGAGAGGGGGCGATGAGGGGGAAGAGTGGGGGATGGGGCGGTGAGAGGGGGGGTGGAGGCAAGGGAGACTGGGCGGGGGAAGGGAGGGTCTAAATCTAAGCTATATATCACAATCTTTCAACATATCTCTAAAACATTAATCAAATCAGTGTTAAAATTCCTGACAATAATTGATTATAAATTATTCAGAATTAATTCGAGTCGTATTATTTTTCTTCACAATTTATTAAAAAGATTTTGAGGTTTGAGTTGGATTTTTTTTAACAATCCAATACTTTTTTTTTATTATCAAATGTATAAATAAAATTAAATATTCTCTAAATTCTATCTGATTATACTTAAAAAAAATATGGAATTTTTTTTAACGGTTCATAATAATATCATAAATGTTTGTAGATACTAATTAATAATACTTCACATTTACTATTCGCAATCAATAATAAATCACATTACTTCCGGGTTACAAGGTCTTAATCAACACAGTCATTTTCTTTACTGATTAATAATAATAAAAAAAAGGTTAAGGTTTGTATATATGAGACAAAAACAGACTAAATAATATAACACCAAAATTGGGACGTCTCTCTGATCTTACAATGCCTCAGGGTGCCACTTGAGGGTTCAATTTTGGCACTATAATATTTTGATAACTACAGTAATAAGCGTTATATATTTCACGTATATTATCCATCTCTTTAACATTAGGGATATACTATAAATACATACTGTTTATAGCCTTCATGTTGGGCAGTGTGGTCAGGTGAGGGGGAAGGGAGGGAGAGTATGGGGGTGAGGGAGGATAGGGGTGAGGGGAAGGGAGGGGGGGAGTATGGGGGTAAGGGAGGATAGGGTGAGGTAAGGAGGGGGGAGTATGGGGGTGAGGAGGATAGGGGTGAGGGGGAAGGGAGGGGAGTATGGGGTGGGAGGGGGGAAGGAGGGGGAAGGGTAGAGGGGTAAGGGAGGGTGACGGGGAGGGGAAGGGGGTGAGGAGAGAGGAAGGAGGTGAGGAGGAAGGGAGGGAGGAAGGGGGGGAATTAATGTTTGAGGAGTGGCTTAATACTTCACCCTTACTGGAGTTGGACCTTGGGAACAACTTAAAGGCCAATATTTTACTACATACATACATACATACATACAGTACATGGCGGACTGCGCGAGGTGGGCGGGGGAATGCCGGTGGCAGGAAGTGGCGATGACGAGGATGGTGCAGTCGTCCACTGCCAAACCTTGCTAGTGCTTGGTGGTGGAGGTCACTGATGGATGGTATTTCCAGTGACCTCCACCACCAAGCACTAGCAAGGTTTGGCAGTGGACTATTGCACCATCCTCGTCATCGCCACCTCCTGCCACCGGCAGTCCCCGGCCCACCTCGCGCAGTCCGCCACTACAACAAAATTCAGCCCATAAGAGCCCGCACCGATAGATACAAGAACAGCACCATCCCATCTATTGCTAAAATAATAAACAACTCCTGATTTATGTACTGTACAGCCCTGTAAATGTATTCAATGCATATTATATCATTATGTCTAAATCAAATGTAAGTTTGTATATTTTCAGCCATCGGCTGCAACTCTATTAATAAACCGTTTATCATTAATGTTATTATTATTTTATTATTATTATTATTATTATTATTATTACATACATTCAGTACATACATATCTCGCAGCAAATAATTAATCATTGACAAACATCTCTCATAATTTTGCTACAAAGGTTTCACAAAAATAAAATAAACTAATCAAGGTACTAATTAGATTATGACTAATGAGGCATTGAATAATCATATGTTTACCCTTTTTATTTCAGGAGGTAATTAACGAATAGAGGGAGTGAGTTTATGGGGAGGAGGAGGAGGAGGAGGAGGGTGAGTTTATGAGGAGGAAGAGAAAGAGAGAGAGTGAATTATGAGGAGGAGGAGGAGGAGGAGGTGAGTTATGAAAAGTGGAGAGGGTGAGTTATGAGGAAGAGGAAGAGAGGAGGAGGGAGGAGTGAGTTATGAGGAGGAGGGTGAGTTATGAGGAGGAGGAGGAGGAGGAGAGGGTGAATTATGAGTGAGAGTGAGGCAGCTGAGGCAAAACAAACAAACACACAGAGCTAAATAACTCACTACTTACTCTTAAGACGTACACACACACACACACACACACACACACACACACACACACACAGCTCTTACCTTCTCCCGTAGAGGAGCTGAAGACCCTGAAGAGGTGAAGGTGGAGGAGGGGGGGTACTGCCGTGTGTCTGAGGGAGAGAGAAAGAATAAGGTTACTTTATTGATCTTTACCTATAAAATTATCTTATTTTTCGTTCAATAACCAATAAAAATAAGGTTACTTTATTAACCTCTAACTACAGAATTCATTTATTTTCTCTTAATAACTCATACATTTCTTTATCTACGTGTGTTATTAGGTTAGCGTTTACCTCAGTATCGTGTGATTAAAAGCCAGGTAGAAGTTTTGGCTAAGACAGTCAAGGTGTTCCAGAATTATTGTACAAATTTTAGGATCATATATTAATTTTTTTTTTGTCATTTATATAAATTTTGTGTTTGTGTTTTTACATGAATATTTTGCGTAGTATATTTGTTAATGTATTTATATCTGGAATAACAACTCAAATCATTATAGAGTAAAACAGAGAAAGAACTGTCTGTACTGGCGTTGATTTTATGACAGGACCAAGAGACAGAACACAAGTCGGTAATATAATATTTATGACCCACCAAAGTACCCGGGAGTATTATATCGTATCCCGTTTATCTGGCCGCTGTGAGAGTTTATGATCTTGGTGGCCTCCAGAAGACAGTACCACTACTGATAAAATACTAGGTGGCCTCCAGAAGACAGTGCCACTACTGATAAAATACTAACACCCGGTCGAGGACACACTAACACCCGGTCGAGGACACACTAACACCTGGTCGAGGACACACTAACACCCGGTCGAGGACACACTAACACCCGGTCGAGGACACACTAACACCCGGTCGAGGACACACTAACACCCGGTCGAGGACACACTAACACCCGGTCGAGGACACACTAACACCTGGTCGAGGACACACTAACCACCTGGTCAGGACACACTAACACCCGGTCAGGACACACTAAACACCCGGTCGAGGACACACTACACCTGGTCGAGGAACACCACAGTCGAGGACACACCTGGACACACTAACACCACTAACACCTGGTCGAGGACACACTAACACCCGGTCGAGGACACACTAACACCCGGTCGAGGACACACTAACACCCGGTCGAGGACACACTAACACCCGGTCGAGGACACACTAACACCTGGTCGAGGACACACTAACACCTGGTCGAGGACACACTAACACCTGGTCGAGGACACACTAACACCTGGTCGAGGACACACTAACACCTGGTCGAGGACACACTAACACCTGGTCGAGGACTCACTAATTCCTTAAGTGGAGTTAACAAACTCTCCTACTTACTCTCAAGTCCTCTTTCCTTCTTCTCCCTTCCTCTCTTCCTCCTCCCTCTCCCTCTTCATTCTCCTCTATTCCTTTTTGTTACTCTCTCTCTCTCTCTCTCTCACCTCGTTCCTCTTTCTCTCCCGTTATCATTCCTCATTCCTCCCTTTTCTACTCCTTCTCTTATACCTTCTTCTCTTGACCTTTCTCTCCCACTCCTTCTCCCCTCAATAGTCTCCCTCTTCCCTCACTCCTCCTCTCTTTATCTCCCCTTTCTTCTTTTCTCACTCCTTCCCTCTGTTCTCCTGTTCCTTTCTCTTCATTCTTTTCCATTTCCCTTTCTTTCTCCCTTCCTCATTTCCTTACTCTCCCCCTTCCTCCCTCTCTCCCCTCCCTCCACACTCTCCTCCCTCTCCCTCCTTTCTCCACCACCTCCCCCCTCCCTCCCTCCCTCCACCCTGTCTCTCTCCCTCCTCTCCACCACCCTCCCCCTTCACCACCCCCTCTCTCCCTCCCTCCACCACCCCTCCCTCCCTCCCTCCACCACCCTCCCTCCCTCCCTCCACCACCCCCTCTCCCTCCTCCCTCTCTACTACATAATTCACAGATCTCCTAAACCTACTCTTCCTCCTCATTCTAATTTAGTATCGATTAGCGATTCCAGTCCAATTAGACTCCGTCCATTCCGTTTCTGAGTTTTTCCTCCCACCCCTCTCTCTCTCTCTCTCTCTCTCTCACTTATCTCGTTCTTCACTCTCTCTTGACTTGGTTAGGTCAGGTCAGGTCAAATACGCTTACAACACAACTTATATTTTTAATTTTAGAAATTTGGGTCAAGATAAAAAAATATATTACCTACAATACGTCTTACTTAAACAAACAATAACAACAATAACAATAATCATAATATAACCCGGAACTTACAACCCTTACATATTATCCTGACACACACACACACACACACACACACACACACACACACACATACATTATAACTTAGTGTAAATAACAACAACTTTCTGGTATTAAATTATTGTAAGTTCCCGATGTACATTATAAATTACCCTGACTGTATTAACCAACTTTGTATTTTATCACATAGATTATATTACAGTAATGCCAACTGTATTAATTTAACTATTACATGTTAAAAAAAAAAGTTAAAGTTTAGAGAAAGTTCATGAAGCATTTACAATACAAGTTTGATTTTTTCCCCATATATGTTCAGAATTCCCCTAAAATTTCCCTACATATGTTCCGAGTTTCCGGTATTCCCCCGCCCGAGCCTCAAGTATGATTACGTATGTTGCGGGTATTTTCCCTCCCCACAACCCTCAGATTCAGGTAAAGTCACTTAAAACTTTCCTAGACGTGTAAGTCAGTTTCGACACTGTAATTTCCGTATATGTAAAATTAACACTGGACAATAAAGGTGTTAATAGCGTAATAATGATCAAGACTCACCTGTCCTAATGGCTAATGAACTTATACCTGGAGAAATTATAAATATATACATAATTGATTTTACTGAAGCATATTTTTTTATTATTTACGTATTATAACAATTATACTTAGCGTGTGTTAATGATACTTAGCGTGTGTTAATTATACCTAGCGTGTGTTAATTATACTTAGACTGTTAAATTGGTTATCAGCAGAATTTTGGTTTTTTTGTGGTCGATGGAGGAAAAGAGGAGGAGGGAGAATTGGCAATACTGACCCGCCACTGTTGGTCATCATCCTAGAGTTGGTAACACTTTTGTAATTAGTGAATTTTTTTAAGAACTGATTTTGTTTTTATTAATTCGTGTTTGACCTTTTTCCCTCAAATGATGATTCCTCACATAAAAAAAAGTAAGAAAAATAGAGACAAAAAGGAGAAAGGGGGTATAATTTTTGTTTAACTTACTCTTTAATATATAATTTTTTCTATGGATATAAAAGTATTTAAAAAGCCTACTTGGTTATCAAACAAATGACGAGAGAGAGAGAGAGAGAGAGAGAGAGAGAATCACCAAACACAACCATAATCTATTACAACTTCACAACTTCTTAACAACACTTTAATAAATTCGAAAAAATCTTCTGTTATTTTCACTCATTTATTTATTTATCTAAGTTTTTCAGTTATTATCAGTTTATTATTTTACTATTATTCACTCTGTAACTCTTTATTTCTCTACTTATTCCATCATCATGGTTTTTTTTCCCCATTACCATTAATTAAATTGAACCTTCACACCTGAGTTAAAACATTTGGGTTTATAAAATCTCACCTGAAAACATCCCGGGTTAAAACAAAATCCTAAACATCGAAAACCTGATAAACAAAGCATGGGTGGATAGATAGTCAGTCAGTCAGTCAATCCAGTCAGTCAGTCAGTCAGTGGAAGCGGTGTTTTGTAAGTGACGTCACAAAGAAGAATCAATTAAGAACTATGAATGAAAAAAAAAGGGAAATGTTTTTGCTTTTGTTTTTAGGGAAGAACAAAGTTTTCAATGAATAAATTGCCAACAGAAAAATTTTGAGTTATTATTTTCATTTTTTTTTTCCAAGCAATATTTTGTTTACGGGAACGTGTGTGTATACCTGTCTGCTTTGTTAATGGCCCCCCCCCCTCCCCCGGGTCTCTCTCTCTCTCTCTCTCTCTCTCTCTCCTTGTTAGATAGGTTAAATTAGATTATGGTAAGGTAAGGTAAGGTAAGGTAAGGTAAGGTAAGGTAAGGTAAGATAAGGTCAGGTTAGGTCAGGTCAGGTCAGGTAAGGTAAGGTAAGGTTAGATTAGATTAGATTAGGTTAGGTTAGATTAGGTTCGCATTAGGATGGTTAATCTTCAGATGAACTAAGTTAGTGGCTAGTCTTCAGGTGATCTCAAATTTGAAGTTAAGTTACACAAAAATAACAAAAATACTCGAGAATAACGATAAATAACCAAAACTAACAGAATAATTATCATAGTGTAAAGTGTAAGTAATAAAGTGAAGCATATACTTATAAACCAACATACACACTTGGATGATAAAGTAGCATCAACACAATAAGTAACATAGTAATATTATCATAGTGTAAAGTGTAAGTAATGTTGTAGTAGCAATAACGTGCGGGAAATACTTATAAGTCAATCTGGAGACGCTTATAAGACACACTTTGGGGTCAAGTTAATCAATTGTGAGTTGGCTTTTGTGTTGGTACAATAACGTACTTGGCGCTGGTCTGGAGAGAGAGAGAGAGAGAGAGAGAGAGAGAGAGAGAGAGAGAGAGAGAGAGAGAGAGAGAGAGATGGAGAAAGAGAGAGAGAGAAAGAGCAATTCCAACGACCATTTTACGAGCTGTTTCCACTCTTAACAACAGTAAGCCAACAACAACTTCACTCTGGCATTTAACTTCTCAACGAGGAAATTGTTTACCTGAAAAATAGTAAATAACTTTCTATCCTTATTTTCCATCATTCTCTTCGTATATATATATTTTTTCTTTATTATCTTTGTATTTATTATTATCCATTTATTTCAATTCTCTTCAGCTAATTTTATTATTTATGTAAATTATATTAGGGGAGGTTAGGTTAAGTTTGGTTAAGGTTAGGTTAAGTTAGGTTTGATTAAGTTAGTTTTAGTTAAATTAAGTTAGTTGAAGTAATGTTAGGTTAGGTTAACGGGAGAGTGATTAATCTCAGTTGAAATAACCTGGGGGAGCTAATCTTCAGGTGGTTAAATAAAACAAACAACTGAACTGTCCGGTATGACTACACAGTGACGCGGAGGAGAAAACTATGAAGACAAAAATAATGGT